TGCTGGAAATTGAAGCTGGGTCCTCTGGAAGGCAGCCAGTGCTCCTAACCACTGGGCCAACTCTCCAGCCCCAGTACTGCTAAATATTTCAATTGAGACTTCAAAGTAAAAACCTAAGAAATAACCTCAGAATGCAGAGCAAATGTGCAAGAAAATTATGTTTTAAAAACAGAGAGAAGATGGTACATGTGAAGGACAAAAGAATTTGTGTTTGTGAACTCAGGTAGCTGAGAGGAAAGTAGGATATTTGCAGCAAAAGACATGGATAGAAATCTCATACACTGAACAACAGGTACAAAAATCAGTATTTCCTGCCGTATACTAATAAAGCTGTGTGTCAGGTACACTTTAAATAAAAACTAATATTTTAACATGAGAAAATATAAAAGATCAAAATAAATATTAAGGACCAAAAACATAGCATGTATTAAATTAGCAAATGCTCTAAAGTTTTGAATAGCAGGAACCAGAACATCTCACACAGGGAGTGGGAAGCCACGGGAAGTGTAGCGAGAGATCCCTATAAGGAGGCTTACAGGCACTCACTGGCTAAGTACACTGCCCCACATGCAGCTTACATGTACCAAAAGGAAGATTTAAATATAAACCTTCTGGCTTCAATGCCATGGTCTGCCGAGAGCTTGTAACAATATGGAAATTTTCCTATATTTATGCATTTCTGTTAAAAACAAAAATAGTACAAACTCTTTGAAACCTAATGTGCCATTTTTATATTAGAAGGCTTAATATTCTTCCTAACTTTCAAGCCTATAATCTCCTTTCTGAGATCTATTCTGGGAAATTAAGATAACATGCCAAAAGCACCTGCTGTGAGTTAGCCACAGCAACACTTTAATCAGAAGCAAAAGTTGGGGAGCACTTTCCACACAAGTAAAAGATTGGAATTCAGATCCCAGCACCCAGCATATGTCAGACAGGTATGGCAGCTGCCTGTAACCAGCTCCAAAAGGCAGAGACAGGATCCCCAGACAAAGCAGGCCAGAGATTGGCCAGATCATGCAGATCAGGGTTTGAGTGACAGAGCCTGCCTCAGTGAGTAAGGTGGAGAAGCAATAGAGCATGATGCCTGATAAACCTAGGGCCTACACACACACACACACACACACACACACATGCATGCACACACACAAATGCACATGGAAAAATAATAAATTAATTAAACAGAGTAAAAGTGATAGTTGTAAACTACTCAAATGTTCCACAATAAGATATTGTTTATGTCGTATATGTCCCATCTTTAAAAGGGGAAAGAATTAATGTACAGCAATATCAGGGGATGAAAGCTCGACATAAAATTGTAGGTGTAGACATATATACATAAACATCGAAGAAAACACAAAGTTCTGTGAGGGTAATGAAACAGTGGGCTGTACATGATGCTGATATTAAGTACCTTTTTAAATTAAATTCTTCCTGATGTACAAAAACATCCAGATATTTCATTGTACTTTGCTCCTATTTAGCATTCTGCATATTTATCTCTTTTGATGTTTTTAACTTCATTACAACAATTTCACATGTGGAACTCAAAGTTTGTGAGTTTATGGAATCAATATCTGATGGCAGAAATCAATATCTGACAGCAGAAATCAATATCTGACGGCAGAAATCAAATGAGCAAACTCTCAGCTTCATGGGGTGCGTATGACTTGCTGAGACATTTTAGCCCCAACCCAAGCTTGAAAATCACTGAAGAAATAATATATTTCAGTCCAAATTTTAGTTCTCTCCCACATCTCAAAGGTAAAGAATTACAAGTTCACTATTAATTACAACCCCTTTGATCTTTATTATATATGCATTAAAAATAAATTGTTAATCAGACCACAACCCATAGAACCATGGAGGCTATATATATAGATAGCATGGAGGTCCCTAGGACGACTGTGGCTTATAATAAATTTTGGTTTTACTCAATTATTGAAAAAAAATTGCCAAATGAATGGAAACACATGGACTATGAACCAAAAGCTGAGGGGCCCCCAGCTGGATCAGGCCCTCTGAATAGGTGAGACAGTTGACTGGCTTGATCTGTTTGGGAGGCAACTAGGCAGTGGGACCAAGTCCTGTGCTCATTGCATGAGTTGGCTGTTTGAAACCTGGAGCTTATGCAGGGACACTTGGCTCAGTCTGGGAGGAAGGGACTGGACCTACCTGGACTGAGTCTACCAGGTTGATCACAGTCCTCGGGGGAGGATTTGCCCTGGAGGAGGTGGGAATGGGGGGTAGACTGGGGGTAAGGGGAGGGAGTGGGAGGGGGGAGAATAGGAGAACCCATGGCTGATATGTAGAATTGAATGATATTGTAAAATAAAAAAAAATAATAATAATAATAATAATAATAATAATAATAATAATAATAATAAATTGTTAGACTCCTCTCTGGGAAGTCTAAACTGCTAGGTATGAATTCAGTGGATATAATCTTCTTCATCTTCATCAGTTTCCCAATGCACACATTTGTTATTTTATTTGAGATGTTTACCTTTATAGTGGTTACTCAGAATATTGAACATCCAATGTTTAGAAATCCAAACTGTGTAATTTTACAAAAACCTGGAATTTGCTTAATTTAATCACTCAGTTATATCAAAATATACTTAATTATATTTTTAAAAATGTAACTGATTAAGAGACATCGAGGCAGAAGCCAGGAATCAGATGCATCGCCAGAAAAGAAAAATGAGTATTCATTCAGCCAGTAACTTTTCAGCCAACTTGTTAGCTTGAAAATAACTTGGACTTTTTCTTCTGTTCAAAACATTCCCAGAGTCCAAGCAAGACAGGCTGGGTTTTGGAATTGGGAATAATGGGGCCAGCAGCATATGAAGGCAGAAGGAGGGCTTCCCGTTTTAGAAAACGACTTTCTAAAGTTTGCTCCCGTCACTGTGCTCCTCTAGCTCTTTGGAGAGCCTGGCTGAAGATCTGATCGTTTTACTAGCCCTCTTGTATACATAAATTAGAGATCTCTGCAAGTGTGTCAGTTGGGTTCCCTGTGAAGAGCTGGTAACTCTTTTAAGCAAGGTATGTGTCATTTGCAGTTAGCAAAATTGAGGCAGTTCATGCAGGGGATTATTCCAGAATGGCTCTCAGGATCAATCTCTAGGAACACAAAAGACAAGGCTGATGATTTTAAAAGCAGGAAGCCATCAAGTCCAGAAGCTAAGGCCCTTGTTGTGACCAGGGAGCCACCAAGATTACTACAGTGTGACAGGGAGGAAGCCATCCTTACCTCAAGACCCCGTGATTAATGCCAGGTCCAGAATCCCATTATGTCTGCTCTGATTTGAACTAGCAAAATATAAGCAATGAACCTAATTCTTGAGCCCCACCAAGCCAGTGACTCGGCAACAAAATATGCCTTAATGCTGCTGGGAGGAAAAAAAGAGAAAAAAAAATGCCTCCATGTTTTTATTTGCCAGCAGAAGAGCTGAAGTGGCAAGACTTTTGCTCACATCTGGTTTCATACCACATGCATGCTTCCTAGCCAAACCAAAAGCCTGACCAGAACCCAAACTGCCAGAGAACTTGAGGAGTACAAAGGCCGGTTCTCCATCAGCAAAGAAAAGCACAACAGTGGAGGGAGGACACCGAGAACTCACGAGTTCCATCTGTTTATTCAGCATCTATACATGCCCATCCAACTAGTCACCAAAAGCCTCAGTGTGACGAGGATGGTGGACAAGGGCCTAGTGCCAACATCGCTTTTCCCAACACAACTGCCATCATTCTCTGCTGAAATCTGAATATGACATTTTCCTCACAGTCGTGGTGTGTGACCACTCTGTTCCCAGAACTGTTGAGGAAGTTTATGGGACCTTTAGGGGTCAAGCCGCACTGGAGGAAGCAGGTCACTGAGGGAAGGGCCTCAGGGTTCTGTAGCTCTGCCCTGCTTCCTCTCTCTCTCTCTCCCTTCTGTCCACCTGAGGCAATGTGACTAGATGCTGCCACTTCTGCTGGCATGCCTGGCCAGCCATCCTGGGCCAGACCCTGCTGAATTCTAAGTTTCTAAGCCTAAACCAACCCTCTTCTACTGAAGTTGCTTCTCATCAGGTACTTTGGCCACAGCAGGAAGAAAAATAACTCATACATTCTGTCTCCAGAGAAGAAAACCAAAGGACCCCTCACCACTCAACCTCAGCATGAGAGTTTGCTCCACCTCTAATAAATTCTATTAAAATAGATACACTACCCTGTTAGACCTGAGGAGACGGCAACACCAGTTCATATTTATAAACGTGCAAAACAAGACAAGGCAAACAGGGGTGGACTAAGGTCAAAGTGCTTGTGCCACGAGCAAGAAAAGCGGAGCTTGGATCCCCATTAGCAGTGTAAATGCTGGGCGGACATGGAAGCCACCAGTAACTCCAGCTTCCCAAGGCAGAGACAGAGGATTCCCAGAGCAAGCGGGCTAGCAAGACAAGCTAGTCGATGAACTCAAGATTTGATTGAGAAACCTTGCCTCAAAGAATAAAGTGAAGAGGGATCAAGGAAGATTCCTAAATTAACCTTGGGCTCCACACATGTGCAAGCAAAGGTACACACATGCATAGGTACACACAGGTGCACACACATGCGCATGCAAAGGAGAAAAGACTGCAGTGGTGTTCTGTAATTATCTTCCCCTTCCTGTGCTTATTCCCTTAGCCAGCATCTAGGCTGCCTCAGGTCCTCAAGACATCGCAGTGAAACACAGGTCCCCCATTGAGATCAGAGCCTTTGGTGGGTTCCTATGTCACAACCACCTGAGACATGCCGGAGGAAATCTGAAGATTCCAAACTCACTTCTCATTTCCCACCTCTTAGACCAGCAAGCTTAGCTAAAAGAGAATCTGGAAAATGCCATTTGGCCTCAGCCCCACAGTAGCCAGGGCAGAGCAGACAGGGGAGCAAGGGAAAAGAGAAGGGGTACGCAGGCAGACAACCACAATCCCGGGAAATTTTTCAAATTCGTTTGTCTTGCGATAATGTGTTGACAGATTGGTTACTGGAAAGATGCGGAACCAGAAGACTCTGCAGAAACAGTCAGAACCAGAGGGAATGAGTCATTTGTCATGTTGACAGGACTGGAAGGCGACACTCGCTATCACCTCACAGTCAGGGCTTACAATGGAGCAGGATTTGGGCCACCCAGCGGGGAAGTGAGTGCCACCACCAAGAGACACCGTAAGTGACCTGGGCTTTTGTTTGTTTCTGACAGAACTGAACATCTTTCTGGGTTTCTGAAAGCCACACGATCAGAAGCCGCACAGGGTGCGTGATAAGCAGTGTCAAAGGGAGTCCTGCTTCAGTGCTCAGATCTGAATTCCGAAACCAGCTCAAAAAAACTTTGCATTCACAGTTTGTAAAGGTTATCATCCTGTGAAACAAGGCAAAGCGATTTTGACACAGAAGGGAGATAAAAGGATTCGAGTTCAAAAGCTCAGTGGAGTAGCTATTAAAATGACAGTCCTGGAGCAAACCCCCCTCATCTGATTCCAGCTGGAGGGAAGCCTATGGCACCAGCCAGCTACCAGACACAGAGACAGAAATTCTCAGGACTGAAATGAAGAAATGCATTTGGGGCTTATCAATTTGCTTCCCTTTTTATCTTGCAGCCCCAAGTGAGCCTCCTGGCAACCTCAGGTGGGAGCAGCAGGGGTCTCAGGTTTCCCTAGGCTGGGAGCCAGTCCGGCCTTTAGCCAACGAGTCTGAAGTCATGGGCTACAAGGTTAGTATCTGTTTGTTCTTTAAACATAAGCACATCTCGAAAACTGATGCTGCAAGGGTGGACCGTGAAGGGGGCATCAAGAATCCTCTTATAAGCATTTTTGCTTTCTTGATGGTATTTTCTTCTTCACAGACGTGGGTTTTGAGGCTTGAAGAGAGTTTTGTATTATAGGTTAAGCCTGTTTTCTCTTTTCCTCTTACCCCAGCCTTCATTTTCTCACTAATCCCGTTCTCATTCATCTTCTCTCTCCCCTAGGCCAGTTCTTCTCAACCTACCTAATGCTGAGACCCTTCAATACTGGTCCTCATGCTGTAGTGGCCTCCAACCTTACAGTTATTTTGATGCTATGTCATAACTGTAATTTGCTACTGTTATGAATCATATTGTAAATATCTGGTATGCAGAATATCTAGTATGTGACCTCTGTAAAAGGGTCATTCAACTCTCAAAGGAGTCAAGACCCACATATTGAGGACCACTGCTCTAAATGATGTAACTTCTAGTTTACTCTCATGTATACATGCATGGTTTTATATTTCTCTATAGAGGAATCTATGAACCACAAATGGGATTACAGATATAGTATTTATCTTTCTGCAAGTGACTTAACTTGCTTCACAATTCTTTCCAATGGCATCCATTTGCCTGCAAATGACATAAAGAGAAGAAAACTCCACTGTGTATGTTTTCCTTATCCATTCCTCTGCTGTTGAACACCTAGATTGGTTCCATAATTTAGCTATCATTGATAGTATTGTAGTTATCAGTCATGTGTAATTATCTCTGACATAGCTCAACTTAGAAACAACCTTTCGGTAATTACTCAGGTATTGTATAGCTGGGTCATGTGGAAGATCCTTTGATCGTATTTGTCTTTTCTTAGAGTGAGTGTTTTCCTGTGGTGTGTAAAGCAGCAGTCAACCTCAGTTCCAAATCCACAGGCATAGGAAAGAAATGGTTAGAAAAAGCGGTAGTACCCTGAATTCAGTATGAAAGTAAGTCGTGTGAAGACAGCCCTGTAGCACCTGGTGCCAGATGGAGGACCCTGGCATAGTGTTCCAGTAAACTTTTTTGGCAGATGACAAAGCCTGAACCTCTAAGGCTGAATAGGATGATGTTCTGTTAACCATAAAACAAAAAGTAAAACAAAAATAAAGTGCTGGGGCAGCACATTACATAGGAAGGAGTCCATGGAGAGAGACAGAATGCTACAAAAGACATTCCACAGGTATCTAGCCTTGTGTTTATAGGACATCTGGGGGTGGAAACCTCTACTCACCTCCAGAAACAACTTTGTATGACCTGTGGGTTAATGTGTCCAAATAGCTAACTTTTGGGCCATATCATCAGAGTTTAATATTTAATTTTGTACAGAATTACCAGTTGAATGTTATTTAGAATAGATTTGAAAGTGTTTTTTATGACAGTATTTAGGCTGATAACCATTATGATATTGTTTTTTTTTATCAGAAATGGTGACAATATTTTGTGGATAAATTAGTAAAAATCTGAAACTTAACAACAGATGCAGCTACAAATGCAATATGCACTCATATATATGCATGAATGGGTGTGTATAATAGTAAATAGAAGACACTCCTTACAGTGTTTCTTAACTGAAATGAATAATAATCACAGGCAGTCTCACACTGAAACACACACACACACACACACACACACACACATGCACACACACACTCAGATCTGACTCTACTTCTCAGAGATACAGAATTTCATCTTTTGAGGGGGTAGATGGGTCATTTTCTGGATCCTTCCATAAGCCATCTCATTTCCACATCTTTCCCCAACAGACCACATCCTTTGAACTCACCCTTCAAGGCGGTATACTCTTCAATAGTAAGGGAAGCAGTATTTTCAGGTGATGGCAGACCATTCAGGGGCAAACTAACAGCATGAGAACTAGACAAACAGCCTTTAAACTGGAAAGGCAATGTAGAATCCTCTGAACAACATAACAAAATCACATGACCACCAAGAAGGTCGGTGGCTTAAGTGCCCCGCCAGTGAGCATAAGTTGTAAATGGCTAAAGAAAGCATGTTAGGCAGGGTGTACAGTTCCCTGAGTATCTGACTCCAGTTTCATTTCTGTGGTTGTAATACAATACCAGACTTCAAGAAGAAAATGAGTTTGGAACTTCCAATTCTACTGTGTAGGAGAGGTCAAAGCAGAAACCGGAAGCATCACATCCACAACTAAGAGCAGAGAAAAATAAATGTGTGGTTCCTGCTTGCTTTCTCTCAGGAACATTCCTTTCTATTATACTTCTATAATAGGAATCCCTGCCTAAGGAGTAGTGCAGCTCACAGTTCATTGGGTCTTTCAACATCAATTAACAACCACGAAAATGCCCCTATCCACATGTCCACAGGCCAACTTGATCTTGATAATTCCTCATTGAACTCTCTTCCCAAGTGATTCTGGGTTGTGTCAAATTAGCAATTAAATTAACCAGCATGCCCAGTGACACTGAACTCTTTGTTATCATTTCCAGCTAATGTGGTGTTTCCCAACAACAGAGAGTACCTTGAAGGCAAGAACACTCATCCTCAACACCCTCAGGAGAGCTAAATCAATTCATTCAATTCATTCAAAAATAATTTCAACCCAGCCTGAAATATCTCACGCAATTATTTATCTCTAGGTCTTACCAAACATGTATTTTTTCAGCATGACTTTCCCATGTGTTGTGATATGACAGACAAGGATCATTGGCTTCTAAATCAGACCTACTTCATCAAATCCTACTTGCATAATTTTGAATAAGTTTCTAAACTTCCTTGAGTTTCATTTTTCTTCAGTTAAAACTGGTAAAAAAATGGTATTAGCAGTATTTATGCAACAGCATTATTTTAAGAATTATGTAATTTGTACAAAATAATTTGCTGTTTAAGTAGCATGTATTGAGAAAGAGATGCTATTTTTTTCTAGTGGAGGAGACTACCTGACTAAAATGTTAACTATATTAACAAAGGAAACTGACAATTCCTGTTTTCTCTTGGTGAAGACCACACACATCACTTTGGAATACTGTCTCACTGGGGAACAGCCGCCAACATAGCTCATCTTAGTTGTATAAATGCACAAAAGCAGGTGCACATTGCAAGATGGTATTTTCCTTTTCATTTTCTTGAAAAAGTTCCACACTCTTCCCCCTGAGAAGGAAGAGCTAGATGAAGGAAGTTACCAACAACTTCCAGAGTCAGGCCCTCCTCACTCACTCTTTTGCTGCCAACTTTATTTGAACCTTTGCTGGCAGGACAGTGCTTAGGACAACTGTGGATACAAAGGGCCTCTTGATAAGAAGGTTTCACAGTGTTCCGTGGCCTTAGTGCAGGGTTCTCTGGATACAGGCATCATGAAACAGGAATGTAGCTAGAAACCATAGCTGAGAATATAAACCAAAAGATTTACAGAGAACACACACTTGGAACTTGACTCTGAGGAGGAACGTGGTCTAGGCAAGAATATCCATCTATCTTTGCCATCTGTAGGGAAGTGCAGGTCATTTAAGGCCATCCTGATCTAGAAAAATAGAATTTGCTTCTGGTATTCAAGGCAGAGGTATTTGGTATTCAAGGAAGTCGAGAGGGGGGTTTGCTTTTGCTTGTACAAAGAAGGTTCTCACTCTGAAAAGACAGAGGTTGCCAGAAAGAAGTCAAGGCAAGAGCCTCAGGCTGAGAACTGGAAGGCAAATATTTGCTATGTCAATCTACACCTAGAAAATCTTTTTTCTAGATTAAAATTCCCTTTACTATATATTTCTGTCTCTACCTTCCCATCCAATTCATGCCAGGAAGAACAGGTATTAATTAGGTGCAAAGTTTACTAATTATCAAATGGCCCATCTATATATGTGGAGAATTTCCTTTACTCGTAACAGTTTAGTCAAAAGCTAAGGCCTTCTGCCACCTGAGAGTTATGTACACCAAGAGTTATTTCACACGTGATGGAACTGGAACACTCAAGCCCATGCTTCTCCGTTTCTTCAGGAGTTTGTGAGTCAATGGACATGAAAGTCTATGGTTTTGAGTCTCTACATTTTTATAGTCTTTCTTTGATTCTATATCCATTCCAGATACAGAACTCTACCTGTTGACAGTTTAATGACTCACAGATTATTATACTTACTTAGGTAAAGTATACAACTTTCTGACTTGTCCCTCAAAGCCTGCTCAGCTCCCCTTTTTATACAACCCAGGACAACCTGCCAGGGATGGGACTGCCCACAACAGGATGGACTGTCCCATGTCAACCATCAGTCAAGGAAATGCCCGCATAGACTTGCTTATGGATCACTCTGATTTAGTCCCCTTCTCGAGTGACATTCTATCTTCAGCTATAGCCTGTGTCAAGTTGACAAAAACCAACTGGCACAGCGTGTGAGGATGGAGGGAGTGCCCACAAATGGCTGAAAGCTGCCCATTAAGAAGCAGTGGCTTCCAAAGTCCTTTCAGCCACTCTTTGGCCAGTTGTACTTGTGCTTACAAACTGCTGTGTTTGCTTTCTGAGACCGAGTCTTGTGAAGTATCCTATGCTGACCTTGATCTTCTTTGTCCATCCAGTCTAACTCCTGATACTCACACCTCAACCTCCCAACTGCTGGGATACAGGCATGTACAACCATCCTCAGCTGCTCATCCACCTTTGGTGTGTCTTGCTTCACCTATCTTCTTATCCCTGGGGCTTCATAACCCTTAACCCATATCATTGGTCCCATCAACTTTTCCCAAGATACTAAGCTGAGGAATGGCCTTCCCTTGACAGGATGCCAACTTCTCAGGGGCGTCAGTAGGCATCATCAACATGTTTTCATTGTATTTTCTGCACACTGACCTCAACACTCTATTACCACCATATACTTAAAACAGCCATTTTGTTTTAAGAATAGCAGTACCAGGCTGGCAAAATGGTGCAGCAATAAAGGAACTTATGGCCAAGACTGTCTAGCTCAGTTCTATCCCTGGGACCCACATAGTAGAAGGAAAGAACTAACTTCTGCAGGTTGACATCTGACCACTACACATGCAAGTACATACACACATGTAAACAATAAATAAATAAAATATCAGTCTTTTTTAAAACAGTAGCAATACCAATTAAATCTTTATTAGGATCTTTTATTTGGATAATCTAATATTCTTATTTGTTTTGTAAGTAGAATTTGAAACTCATCTTGACATTACAGCAGGCAGTTTATTTTATGGATAAAGATAGCTGTCAGTGTGAGTGCCAATCTAAAAATGCTCGGATTGTCGAAGAACTCCCTACCTCCTCACTGTCAGCAACTATCTTGCCATTTCTTTGTAACTCTTTTGTCTTTTTGTATTTCTTATTCATTTTTCTAAATCAGGGCTTTCAACTGGGCCAAGATGCTCCAAAGTACTGAAGATTAACCATTAGTTTAATTGACTTTATTTGGTGAATATCTTTACTGATACGTGTTACTTCTCCCTACATATTGATAAAAGCTACACTTAATCTCAGACTCTCTCTGCAGCTAATAACTGACATTTAATATATTTTTGCTGTTTCTCTTATCTGTTCCTAAATCTCAACTGATCCACAAGTTTTCCTCCACCTCTGTATTTTATAGCAATGTGTGATGTGCATTGTTGGCTGCATTTTTCTTTGTCATAAAAATTGTAATTTATTGAACCACATTAACCATGTCTTCTGAAATAGTCACTCCTCTGCCAATCCTTACCAATTTACATACATCTCCATTCTTATAAATTTGATTTCTAATTGCTACATGCAGATGATAGGATTAGAATTCATGACTATGTTACAGTCAAAATCAAAATAATGAATTTTGATATATTTGTGATTCTTTTAAGCCTAAAGAAACTCCTGTAGCCATCTTCCAAGATTCACCAAATCTAAGCACTCATTCTGTGCACTGCTTTGCTATCAAATGTTTCCCACTATAGCACACACCACCCTTGGTTGTACTGCATATTTCTCTCTGACATTAGATTGTGTCAGGACGCTACATACCTACAGTCTCTCTGATGGATATTCAAGCATAATGCTCAGTCAGGTAAAGATGTAGAAATGTGTACATCATTTTTCATGTCTATTCAAGCTATGGCATCTTTTTCCAGAAAGAATTTAAGCATATAAAACTATAGAGTATCAGATACTCAAACAAGCAGTTTCCTATAGACCCACAAGCAAATTCAGATCCAAGAATGGATGGAATGTGTGTTACATAAAAGCAAAGAGAGAATCACATCACTTCATATATCAACAAATAAAATGCTGCTTTGGAGCTGGGTGTGGTAGCATATACAGTAATTTCAGCACCTGGAGGAGGAGGCAGGCAGATCTCTGTGAGTTCAAGACCACACAATTTACATAGGGAGTCCTAGGCCAACAAAGGCTAAACAGTGAGACCCTGTCTCAAAAAGCAAAGCAATTATAAAACGCTGTTTTAGAAACTGAGAGATGATTCAGTCAGTAAAGTGCCACACAAGCATGGGGACCTCACTTAGATTCTGAGAACCCACTGAAAAAGCCAGACATCTGAGAAGATGGGGGTGGGTGGGGGACAAGAGAATCCCTGGGCCTAGGGTCAGACAGCCCATCTGAATATGGGAGTCTGTGGTCCTAGTAAGTGACTGTGTCTCAAAAAACATGGTAGTTGGCTCTTGAGAAATTATACCCCCAGGTTAGCCTCTGGGTTCTGCACTCACATACACACAAACCTGAACACTTCCCACCCAACCCCACCCCAAATTCCGCTTCTCAGGGGTTTATTTTGTTGCATGCAAGTTAGTTCAAGCTCAAGACGTTTTCTATAAGAACTCTGTGTGTGTGTGTGTGTGTGTGTGTGTGTGTGTGTGTGTGTGTGTGTGTGTGTGTGTGTGTGATTTATCTTGCTTCAAGCACATGAAATTGAAACACCATTCCACTGGCAGTCAACAATGGTGGTAGTATGAATGACTTCTTCTCATTAAGCTTATATGCACCAAGTCCCATACTCGATTCTTTTCATATGCTCTTGCCCCTTTAGTTCTCCTAAAAAATCATGAAATAAGAGGCATTATTTCTACAAACAAAAGAGTGGATTCAGGCTGGGAAAGGTCAGTAATTTACCCAGTCAGGCAGATGTGGGAGATTGGCTTGATTTGGTTTTGTAGAAGACTGTTTTGAAGCCATATTTGCATAATGCCCAAGCTTCTGCTATTTTTTCCATTAGACAAAGGAATCATAACACCAATCATTACGAAAATGCATAAAACAATGAAAATAAATAAAAATGAACTAAATGTATCTTAACTGCTGCTGTTTGGCTATTATACAACACCCCCCCCCAATTATACTAAACTATTATTGGAGGCAAAAGCATAAGGAAAGCATTGCATAGTGGGTAGTTAGAAAGTGATCCGTGCACAGCACTCACCTCCTAATGGAATTCCTGTCCTAACTCTCCACAGCCTTTTAGAAAGGATCTCACTGCCTCTGCAGTCTCGGCTGTGTAGCAACCAGATAATGTATCCAGATTTGTGCATCTGTTCGCCATGCAATATGTTTAATTATGCAATTATGTATGCATGTCAAAAAAAGTTAAGTCTGTATCCCACTATCATCCAAACACAAGTTCATCAGTATGTTAACTATGCTAAAACGGAAATTGAAGTTTTGACTCTGATTGTCATTTATTAAGAGTTTTGTCTTAAATTTTTGGCAATGTTCTCTTTATACCTTTCCACTCAAGGAGCTTCCAAGCCATTCTACACACTGTTGCGTCTCCAAGCACACATCCGTTATAGTACATGTCACCCCCAATTTCCCTGCTAATTGCATCTCTGGTGTTAGAGGAACTGCTATGAACACAGGGAACATGAGTTCTTGTTCTGTACGCCACCCTTTTCAAGGACCAGGCTTCAGCCTTCACCCGTGACTTACTGCCTGCTTCTCTAATCTTACTTCTCTCATTCTTGTTTTTCATGTGCTCTGTCCATTGCATGGGTATCATAGTTTCTTATTACTTTAAATGTTTTGGGCTTGGTTTTTTTCTATTTTTATTCTCTTATGTCTAGAAATCTCCATCTGGTTAATTCTGTATTTATTTTTACTTTTTGTTTGTTTGTTTGTTTGTTTTGTTTTGTTTTTGAAAATCTTACCCTATAGCTCAGGATTGTCTTGAACTAAGGGCAATCTTTCTGCCACACACTCACGTACTCAGATTACTGGTGTGATCTACATGTCTGCTTTCAAGCTGTCTTCAAACATTCCCTTCCTGCATTGCTATTGCCCCATATGTTCTTCCATCACCGTGTGTCACACTTGCAGCCCATTTGCTTACATATCTCAGCAGTGGAGTCCTGTGCCCAGCTCAGAGTACAGTGTGTAGTCGGCAGTCAGGAAACATTTGCAATGTCCAACTGAATAACAAATCATTCCAGCCTCTGTTACTGTTCACAGGTTTTTTATAGGCAAGAGGGTCAGAGCAAAGGTCAAGTTATTGAAACACAGAAACCTCAAGCTGTAGTGCCTCTCCCTGAGGCCGGAGTCTACATTATTGAAGTTCGAGCCTACAGTGAAGGAGGGGATGGAACAGCTAGCTCCCAGATCAGAGTACCTTCGTATTCAGGTAAGTCTGACGTAGCGGGCTCAATCTGATGGACTTCACCGATGCAGTGGGGTCGAAATCTGCTTGACATTGAAGGATAGATGGCAGAATTCAGAAATATTTGAGATGTTTCTCTTCCTTGAAATTCATGCCATTCTGCAATTAGCATAAATGATACCTACAGCTTAGAAAGCAGGTGAGGCTTTCATCAGGATGTACTTCCTATAAAATGTTTTGCCTAACCTGGGCTAAGTAGTAAATGGCCACTTGGGTTTTGAAAGCTGTGTTTCGACTGATACTATGTGAGTTTGACGTACCTACTTCTCTTTCACTATGAAACAAGAGGGAACCTACAGGGAAGTCTTCTAAAATTAAAAATGAACATTTATTGACTTCTAAACCAATGACATATTGTAGTCATCATTTTTAGTATTAGCACTTAATGGTTGATGATATGTATTATTTATTGGGCAGCAATTCCCAGCTTCCAAGGACTTGCCTCGTGATGCTATAGACGGCTGTGCATGTGGCTTACCCTAGTAATACACTCGCTGTATAGTCAGCATTTGCGGTTCTGTTTTAAAATGAGACTGATAGTCAATACAGCCGAGGAAAGGACAACACTGGACTTTAAGGAAAAGCTCTTGATTGATCCAAATTCTTGAATGAAAGTTTACAGAACTACAGAGCATGATTGACAAGAGCCTGTCCATCCAGCTCAGCATCAGTTTGTCTCTTTCAAAAGCTGTATTGCAATTTTATTAGGAAATGAACGTTATATGAGCAGAAGGCATTGTATGTGTGCATGAAATTCCCATACCATGAATAAAAATGTTACACTTAAAAAAACATGCAATGCTTTATATTTAGAGGCCATCCATTGGCATGTTTAAGGGAAAGGGCCCATTATCTCAAATCACTGAGGGAAGATACAGATTGAGAGAGAGATAGATGGTTGATAGATGATAGATAGCTGCATAAGTGAAATAAATGAGAAATAGTTATGCAAAAATGATTTTAAAAATCTAGGAATCTGGATGAATTCTATTCATACTCTCTCTCTCTCTCTCTCTCTCTCTATATATATATATATATATATATATATATATATATATATACATACATATATACATATGTACAGCAAAAGTTACTTTAAAATGAAAAAACAAAGCTGGGTGTGGTGGTGCATGCCTTTAATCCTAGAACTCAGGAGACAGAGGCAGGCAAATCCCTGAGTTCAAGACCACACTAGTCTACAGTACAGAAATCTTGTCTCAACAAAATAAAAACAAAACAACAAATCATAAAATGAAAAGACATTCCCAAAATGGGGGGAGATCTCACTTTCTCGGATATCCACGTGAAGAGATCTAAGAATTAACTTACCTTGAGGCACACAAAAAAAGTTTTCTTCGAAATTAAAATGATGGCAGCCTCCTTTGCCATAGTGTCGAGCTTCTAATAACAACATAGCAAGTATTTGCTGACCTTCATCCTGTTCTTGATATTGCACAAGACATTTTCCATTTTGGCTCCTCCCACTGTGTGTGTGTATATGTGTGTTTCTATGTATGTCTGTATGTTTCAGTGTGTGCATGTGTGTGCACATGTGGAAAGCCCAAGGTTGGAGTCTAATGTCTTCCTCTATTGCTCTCTGTGTTAGTCAGTGTTTTATTGCTGTGAAGAGACACAATGACCAAGGCTACTCTTTTAAAAGAAAGCATTTAATTGGGACTTGCTTACAGTTTCAGAGGTTTAGTCCATTATTGTTATGGCATGGAGCATGACACAGAGGCAGACATGGTGCTGGAAAGAGTTGAGAGTTCTACATCCAAATCCACAAGCATCAGGAAGAGAGAGAGACAAGCTGGCTTGGGCCCTTGAAGCATCAGTACTCACGCCCAGTGACACTCACCAACAAGACCACACCCACTCCAACGAGGCCCCACCTCCTAACTGTTTCAAACACTGCCACTCCCTTGCAACCAAGCATCCAAATCTGTGAGCCCATGGGGACCATTCTCATTCAAACCACCACATGCTCCAACTTTTCTTTGTATTGCTTGAAAAGTCATATATATATGTGTATATATATACATACACATATATATATTACATACATATATAATGAAGTTTTTATCAAACCCAGCCCCCACTATCCCTTTTCCAACTTCTCCCTTAGCCCACACCACCTCCACTTTTCTACCCCAACGTTGGGTGCTCTTTTTTTAAATGCACTGAGTCCACTTAGGGCTGCAAGGATGTACAGGGGTGTGGGACCCGCTACTGTAAATTTGAGGAGGCCTATCAGGGGCCACATCTCTGAAGAAAATTTACTCTCATTCAGCCAATAGAGATCACTGCAGAAGAGTGGGGGGTGAGAGGTTGGAAGAGCCAAACTGTGGGTAACTATATGTCTGGATAATGTATCATTACTCACATGAACTCCACCTTTCTTTTGAGGAAGGAATCTCTCACTCTACCTAAAGTTTGCTATATTGGCCAGACTGGCTCATCAGTGCTTCTCAGAGGGTTCCACAGCATCCACCCCTATAGCCACACAGAATGAAAATCACAGATGTATCCCACCATAAGTGTGCTTTTCATATGTGTGCTAGAGATCTCAACATAGTACCTGATGCTTGTGTGCCAAGTTATTGACCCACTGGGACATTGCCCACCCAATACGGCATCTTTTGAGTTAGGAATTTCATTATGCTGAGTCTAAGAGTTTCCTTTTCACTCAAACACAGATTCTGTTGAGTCATTTCAGTAGTTTGGAAGTACTTATACAGACTTTGATTTTCCCATTTATATTTTAATTAACTTGCAATATCTATGAAAATAGCAACTTTTATGTTGTAGTTAATAGCATTTTGGCAATTAGCAATTCCTAAATTTCAATAACGTGAAATCTCATAGATTTATCTAACTTAGCCCCATAAAACCCAACTGAGGCTTGGTTTCATTCTTATATTGTCAAAAGCAAATTCTTAAGAAGCTGAAATTACTTGCTCAGGTGAAACAGCTGGACAGCTTCACAGCTGGGGTGAATCTTATCCTTCAACACTGCTGCTTTATGGTTGGGTTTCACTATTTGTTAAGCTGTGTTAAGATAACATATCTAATTAGTGGGTTTAATTTAGAACGTGAAAGGTAGACTTTATTCAGTAACATTAAAGATGACTTTACAGGATCATCAATACATTTAACACAGCAACTTCCAAACAAATTAAAGGATGTTTGGGCATGCTTCTCTTCTTCCACATGCCCAAGCCACTCCAGTGAGGTATGTCATCTAATTTACCTTTCTTGTCGTAACTCAGATGTAGCCATGAACTTTACAATCGATACATTTTGCAAAATATGAAATTACTCAAAATGCTCCAATATTTTAACGATCTTTCTATTGCATTAGTGACAAAAATTGACAAATGAAGACTTACCTTCTGTGTGTGGATGTGTGGATGTTTGCATGTGTGGTTTATCAGCAAAGTTCTTCTTTTGCTCTCAAGTATGTGAGGAATAAATTTAAATTCCCTATCTCTAACAAAAAAACTTACCCATGATGTCATTGCACTCATCTAACCAGCAAAGCTAGCTTCAGAAGATTTTAAGATTTGTGTAATTTTTTTTAATCCTTATCTTAAGATTATACTCAGAGTCAGTCATTGTGATGATTTTTGTCAACTAAATATAATCTAGAATCACTTGAAAGGATAGTCTTAATGAGAAGTGTCAGGTTGTCCTGTAAACATGTCTGTGGGGTACTGTCATGATGGTAATAACTGATGTGGGAAGACCCAGCCTATTGGGTGCAACACCATATCCTAGGCAGGGGATCCTGGACTACACAGGAGTAGGGAGGATGTGATGACACATGCATTCACTTTTCTCTGCTCTTAACTGTGGGTGTGATATGACTGCCTATTTCAAGTTTCTGCTACCTTGATTTCTCTGCTACAGTGAACTATAAGACAGACTTGTAAGCTAAATAAACCCTTTCTTCCCTAAATTGCCTTTTGTCAGAATTATTTCATCATCTCAACAAGAAAGGAAACTAAGTCACTGTTTTGAGAGACACAATCCAGGAGAGCATCTGGACCAACAAACCGCCAGCTCAGTACTTTAATCACATTTATCACCTTTTGTTTTCTTTATACTTTTTATTTTTAGGTTATAATATAATTACATTTCTCCCTTGCCTTTATTCCCTCTAGACCTTCCCTTATACTCCTCCTTGTTCTCCTTCAAATTCATGGGCTCTTTTTTTCATTAATTGTTAAGCAATACTTTTTTCTCATCTGCAACAGAAGGACCATGCTATTTACCACATAGGAATGTTAACAAGGATCAAGAAAGATAGAATGTGTTAAGGGCTTATTACCATGCTTGGCATACAAGGAGTAGTTATGTCAATGACTCTGATATTTCAGTATACTTCTAGCTTGAAAAATCATTCCTACAGTTACTGTCTTAAAGTGGTTCTTAGCTTACAGGCATATGATGCTTTCAAACCACTTTAGACCAATCAACTCAAAGCAGTTAGTTCAATTCATCAAACTGAATATGATGATTTGATCTCATGAAAGATCTTCTCCTAAGTGTAAGAATGATAGATATGTTTGCCCTTTTTTGCCGACTTTGAAATGAGGACTTGAGTCTGATCATCTGAAATAGTCAAACACCCATGAATATAATAAATAAAATGATTTGTTAAATTTTATTATTTATAGAATATTATGAATTCATGTCACATCCCACTTTCCTAATTATTTTTCAGTTCTTGAACTGTTTATGCTCTACAGCAATGATTTCATTCCCATACTTTGACCTTAAAATATTTCTATCTGTGCACCACTAGTGAAAATCTCCCATTCTCATTGTTAGATTTGTATTTTAGAAATGGTTCAGCTTTCCAGTACATTTTTGCAGATAGACTTCAACCTCCTTGTGAGGGCAGAGACCTCAGACAATGCCTTATTTCATAGCAGAACAATGCCTGGGACAGAAGACCAACCTTGCAGTCCACTGCCCCTAAGAACATTTCTTACCAACTGGCTTCATTGGAGGCTTCTCTTTTGTTCACAGGTGGGAAAATCACAAGCGCTCAGTCAACTGTGCACTCTCTCTCCAAGTGGTCCTCAGTAACACTCCTCTTGGCTTTGATGCTTCCTTCCAGTTCCTGGTGAAAGCTGCTCATGCAGTTTGCTTTTCTTTGCTTTAGCTTGAGAAAGCAGCAGTGGACAGAGCGCAGAGTGAGTGGAGACCCAGGATCCTGAGGAAAGCTTTGAACGTATGGGACTACAGACGGTGCACTCTCAGGAGTTTGGGGGGAGAATATGAGTTACCCATCAGGTTTCTCTTTGGATTTTGTAAATGGAGAGGACAGTTCTTGGTCCAATAAAAATATGCAGATTGTATGTAATGAAATTTTGTAAGCAAAGGTAATTTCTGTCAGATGTATTCTTAATTTTTTTAATATGTTGGATTTTGATTTTCTATTTGATGACTCTGAGTGCCATCCATCTGTTACAGAGGTGGTCTCTGTCAGCCCACTCAAAAACAAATACAAACCCAAGAAGGTTATATGTTCTCAAGACTCTAAGTCTAGTGTTTTCCAAACTTCCCATCAGATCACTGCTTCAACACCAAAGCAGCAGGAAATGTGAAAAATTGCTTCAGTTGTTGGGATCCATGATAGGGTAAATACATAAAAGAATTCTCAAAAGCTGTTGTATGACTGAATAGAAAAATAGCAAGATTCGTCAATAGGCCATTCTACATGTGCCCATGTAGTAAGGTATTGAGGTAGGGATTTTACATTAGTGGAAGCTGAATAGAAAGTGAGTCCAAATTGATTTATTATTTCCCACTAAGTGACATGTGACCTACAGGAAATACAGTCCAGGTTTAATGTCAAAAGATAGCTTAAAGTCACAAAACCAGTGACTGCTGAAAACTGCGATGGCATAATGCCTCAGGTGCTAACATGAATGTGCGGAGAGCACCGGACAGGGATGTCCCATTCTCCACCTGCTCTCAAATGGATGTGGAATTGAGTGCAAGGCTCTATGCTGATTGCAAATGATTTTAAGGACAAGGACAGTTGGTGAAAGGTGTAATGAAGCAAATGATTTAAAGAAAAATATCTAAGATTTAGATACTGCTATATATCATATGCCACTTATAAATGCTTCCCAACTACTGTGTAATAAGGAAGGACTACTAGGTTCAGTGATGTTCTTAAAACTTGTTGTGGAAACAAGGCATTGCCACAGGGCTTCATCTAGTCTAGCCAAAGTCTGCATTGCTGGATTCCATGCCTTCAGAGACAATCTCCATTAACAAATTTGAGGAGTCAGAGTCAACCTAAGAGATAGTTCACAGAAAAGGTAAGTGAGATAATACTTCTTCATGATGTGATAGGACAGAGCACAAGGATGCAGAAGGGTGGATATCATATCTATAAAGATTCCAGAAATGATACTTATAGCAACCTCACTTTCCAGAAAGAACCTGGAGATGCTGGCTATTTGAGCAATGCTCTTATGAGGACAGAAGGTAGATTTTATTGCTTTGACTTTATATGATCCAAGCCAATTAACTTTATTTGCATCTTTAATAACAAACAAAGTGAAAATACTGAGCTTAAGTCAATGATGCTTGGGGGTGTCTATCCTGAATATCCTAAAAGAGTTTTCAGATTACAGTGTAACTATCTGCCAGTTATTCATATTCTCTTTGGATAAAATTGTATCCCAGAGAGCTCTAAGTAAAGGAAAGACAATATAAAAGATGATTTTAGTCAACAGACTATTACAGTAAATACTAAGACAGTGACTATTCAAGCCTATGAATAATAAAACCACGTGGCCTTTCTCATGTGCCTCCTGGGGAATAGGAGAGGCTGAATTTCACAAACAGAAAGCAAAAGATGAGCTTCCCCAAGTACGGTGTCACTTGCCAGAACAAATCATGCATCTGAAAAAAAATGTAGAATGATATTTTTAAAAAAATATGTTTTTCACATTTGGTGAATTGAGACTTTTTCTTCATTTATTATTGACATTCTCTTCTAGATTTACTGAAGAACTTTAAGAATCAACTTCTTTACAAAATTCTCCTAAAATAAAACCTAGAAAATAGAAATGTCACAACATGGCAGATTCTGATTAATCAACATTCCCCAATCACTGGTGGATAGTAGATCTCTACCCAAATATCCACATACAGAACACCTGATGTCACATTCTTGAAGAATCCAGAGATGTGGGATGTTTTTACTCAACATGCACAAAAATATGTATTTTGCATCATGAACCTATTTAAAATAATAAAACAGATTTTCACTGTATCTGTATTTCTGTATTCCGTATTTGTTATTTTGTAGCAAGCAGACAGCATTCTTATCAAGGAACATTATTTTTCAACAACAGTACTGAGAAAGCTTTTTCTCTGGTGGAATGGTAACCACACAGTCTTAATCACTACAGAGACTGTATTTTTATAACGCCTATTGAACCATAAGAAAACAGCACTCCTTATCATGAGACACTTCATAACAGCAAATGTTTTGCATATGTAACTGAAGGTACTGTGGACTCTGTGTCAAACCATTAAATACATTGTATACAATCTGTATATATACTATATATAATGGTATATATCTTGTGGAAGACACAGTAAGATAATAGTTCTGTGTACTGTTCTTGTAACATTAGATCTTTTTAATAAATAATTCCGTTTTTATTGGCTTTTATCTTCTCTCCTGTCAACTACATGAACGTCAATATGTCAAGCAGGCCACGGAATGGTTGTTTGTAATGATGGCTTTGTGTGGAAAATATTACTTTTTAAAGCTTTACATGCTATTATTTTGGGTTCAAAAATCTCCATGAAGTCTGAGGAGATGGTTCAGCAGGTAAAGGTGCCTGCCACAAAGCCTAAAGGACTCCTTCATGTTGCCCTAACCTTCACACACACACCTACACCAACCAATCAATCAACCAATAAATAAATAAATAAATAATTGAGTAAGTAATAAAATGTGATTTTAAAAATCTCCATAGATATCCTAACCCCGACTTGAACATCTAGAGCTGTGTCAAAGACAAAAACAAAAAACAAGTAGAAATGGGTTAAAATTGGGGTCAAACTCAGGAGCTGTTCCTTCTCAAGACAGCAAACTCTATGGAATCCTGTGGGTAGAGTGTATGCTAAAGGCATGCTTTGGCTTTTTTTGTAGCAATAGTCAGTCACACTCTGTCCTGGGTATGATTGCCACAGTATTTATGTGCTCTCTCATGTCTTCTCAGCATCATTCCTTCATCTCTACTCTACCAACAGCAACCGTAGAGCTGTTTACTTTCCGACATTTCTCTGCTATCAACTCCAGGCTCATGCAGAGGAGAGTTTGTAACATCCACTTTGAGATTTCTCTCTCTCTCAACGGTGCCCAGCATAATACAGATTATATAACAATTAAATAATAGTAAGTTATATAAAGGTAAAATTACCTTTAGATTGCTTGGAGAACAGGCTTCCCACATCTGCATGACTGTCAACTCACCCGAGACCCCACTTCCCCATGTACCCATTCAGTGGCTCACAGATGAGACAAACTACTTTAAAACATTTTCAAACACAGAATAGTAAAAGTAACTCAGGGGGCTTCAGCAATATTTAGTGATTTTATATATGGATTTCTCTTTGACCTAACAGTAGTGACTAGAGGAAAGAGGAGGAGGAAGTGGAGGAGGGGGGAGGGAAGAGGAAAGAAATACAGAAAAAATAATAGAATCCCAAAAGTAAAGGTTTAAGGATGTAGCACAGTAGAGTGTTTGCCTAACGAGCACAAGACCTTGAGTTTCATCCCCAGCATAAAGACAGTGGGAGAAACAAGAAGAATGATCATCAGGTGTTGGAGGTGTAGGTAAAATGCTAATGAAACTGCAACATCTGAATCCAGTTGTGGTGATATCACTGAAAGAGACACTGAGACAGGAGATCCATCAGGAGGGAAAAGGAGAGGGGGTGAGGGGAGGGGAGGACATAAACAATCCCTCCAATATCTCTTAAAATTCAGCGTGAATCTGATCAACCTTTCTCACTTCTATTTTGCAAGAAATGCTGGAAGAAATTGTTTTAATTAAATAATATCACAAGACTGGAACCAGACTGAACCTCAATGTGAGATATTCAACAATACAATAATACATCCACTTTCTTCCACAAATAAGTGTCACACAGAGGTAAAATGGGAAGTAATATGTTGTAGATTAAAGGGTGACATCTGCTGAAAACAGTACGGGGACTTCTTAGGGTCCTGATTCAAACAGACTGAGCCTAAGAAGGGAGCCTTTGAGAACATGGAAGAATTTTGAATATGAGCAAAGTATTAAATAGAGAGGAAGAAATAACAATATCACCAACAATTTTTAAGTATTTATCAGTTAGAGATATACTGAAGTATGTGTGGGTTAGATGATATAATTCTGGAATTTTCCTCAAGATAATCAAGTAAATTAAACCAACTTTGGAGTGAAATATATGAAAGAGTAACAGAAAGTTTATAATTGCTGAAGATGAGTGATGAAGTTAGAACATGTATTGTTCTATTTTATTGGTGTGTGATTAGTATTTGTACATAGTAAGAAGTTGAAAGGCCTCTGCTTTCAAGCGTAATAGGAACCACCTGTGAAATACCAGCAACCCTTGGTGGGGAACAGAGATCTCTGGGAAACACCACCAAACTTTGGTGGGGACAGAGATCTCCATGACTCAGGCTTCAGTGACTCGGCAAACTGCTAGACCCTGTCTACAGATAACCTTTTATGAAAAAAAAAAAAAAAAACTTAAACCAAGTAAAACTGATCTGAATCTTCTATGTGTTGGATTTTCTAAAAAAAAGAAAATGAATTTTTCTCCTCAGAGAAATGTTATAGCATGCCACCTTGATAGTTTCTATTTTGTTTTCTGGTTATTATGTCATGGTGATAATATACACTTTATCTTTGTACTACATATAATTAATGACTCATAGCCATGCACAAATACATTTTTGTATCATATTATATTAATAATGGATCAAAATAAAAATTCACAAAACAGATATTTTCTCTCACCACAGAAAACTGACCCTGCAATTTTTAATAATTAGTCACTATGAAAGAAGTCCATAGCCTACACTGATCAACAGTGACGAGGCCTTATATACACTTAAAAACATCTGGAGATGGGGTGAGTGCGGGGATTCCAAAGGTAGGTAAATGTGCTGCTGGCACACCTGACAAGGTTCCTTTAATCCCAGAACCCATGACAAAAGGAGAGAACCAATTCCTGCACTCCTTCCTCTACACGTACTCTCCACAAAGTAAATACAGAAATACAGAAATGAAGAATTACCATGTACAGAAGGGAAAGTTTTTCAAAAACATTCAAAAATGGCCAAATTCTTATGTTTTCTCAGTTTGAATAAACTCATACATGTTACTTAAAAAAAAATATAAAACTTGGGAGAAAAAAAACCACCTATATCTGCTCACACATCTGGAGTTCTGTCGGTGACCTCTGTGGCAAGTTGCACATTCACCTCTCATGGGAGCTGATCCTTGTTTGAAAGAAGAGATTGCAATAACATAGAAGTAATCCTGCAGCAGCCATTTCCAATGTGACAGAAACCGGCTCCCTACACCTGCTTCCCAACCCCTAGGAACATAGCTGAACCCTATCACAGCTCCACACAGACTGAGGTGTGAAACATTCTCTCTGATGGAATGGAGTGTGTCAAATATGTGTCTAACCTCTTGCACCCAAGGGTTTACTTGTACAGAGCTGCTCAAAGGCAAATTATTTCTGGGCATTCTAGGGTCAAGGGGAAGCATTCTGAGGATGAAGTCTTCCAGTTCATGATGACAATTTGAAACAGAAAGATAATAAACACTTCTGATCTTTATCTTCACACTCTCTGGGTCTCATCTGCTTCCTAGACCATGAGGAGATGCTGATTCATCCCTGCTGCCACCAAGCCCTTGAGCCCCCTTGAAGTTCCTACAACCTTATTGCCTGGGCTAAGCAACATCATGACATGGAGCTCCAAGTATCGCACCATGCCTGTCTCTAGAATCTGACACGCTCTCAGGCCAGTCATGCTTTCAGTCATCATGCCACAGTCCAAAGCAAGCTTCTGTCTATCTAAGCAGCTCCTAGAAGTATGGGATGATGCCAAAGTCCACAAAGGCAGTTGCTTGCTAGGTAAACATTGAAGATGAATAGAGTCACAAAGATAAGAGGGTCCCCTTGCTTTGTCCAAATATCTTACCTTCTCCACAACGTGCTACCCAGTCTGCAGATACACTTGGCAGTGGCAGGTCCATGCACTCTGGGCAGGAAGCGAGGAGACTGTCTTGCTTTCCCATTCTTTCCTCCCTCACTTCCTCTACACACCCCGCCCGGAGACCTCTCCAAAACCCATTGGCTAGAGAACTGGCCTGAATCAGTCTCCAGCACACTTTGAAAGTATCCATGGCCTTTAGGAGAAATGGTTGTTTTGATGACTGACAAAAGAATTACATAAAACAAAACTGTATCATCCAGTAGTGCCAGGAATCAAGGATGGTGAATAAACAGAGACTTGATGGAAGATCTGTCTTGAATTTGTCCCCAATGGCATATGGCAAATAAATAAGAAGTTTGGAAAATCATCATTTTAAACCCCTAATGAAATATTGATTCTGGCAATATTTATCAATGATTGCTAAGAAAAATCATTACAAGAATGATGAAGAATCTGAGTCTGGCTTGCAACTAGAACCTACTTATTAATTTTAGCATCACTAAAAATGGGTCAGTCAATAACCTACATTATTGACAACCTGAGGTAATACAGTATGAAGTATATAATACTATGGTAAGCTGTAATTAAATACTACTGTATGCACTGATAATTAAAAATAAACCTGTGTCCTAAGTTTAGCCAACCTCTATTAGTTGCACAGGATGTGCACCAAAATACACAAGAAATAGAAAATACACTATGTGAGACCATGAGGAATTAATTAGCTATGACAGTAACCACTTTATAGTATGGAGGGGGCAGAACAGAGCAGAGGCTCCTTTTTAATAAGAACTTTAGAAAAAAATGGAAAATACAAATACATTGATTGAATTTTAGCTCAAATTTAGAAAAAGTAAATATTTTAGATGACCAGGATAAATAATTATGTTCATGCTAAAGTAATTGTTTTAGGTATAAAAGGGGTCTGCATTGGGTTTGGGGTTTTGTTTTTTCTATTTTTATTGATTCTTTTCAGATTTCACATCATGAATCCTGATGTCACTCATTCTCCCCATCCACCATCTACCCTTGTAAAACCCCCCAATTTAAAAGAAAAACTAAAAACCAAACAAACAAATAAAAAGAGAAAGAGAAGGAGAGAGAGAGGGAGGGAGGGAGGGAGGGAGGGAGGGAGGGAGGGACAGAGGGAGGGAGGGAGCGGGGGTAGAAGAATCTAGAAGAATCTAGAAGCTGTAGTGTGGCCGGTTGAGTTACATCATTAACCCTTTCTCCTCCCATCTTCACTTTCAAGCAAGCATTCATTGTCATGTGTCATTGGTCTGGCCGAGGCCTCTGGGGTCTGCTACACCGTGGATAACCGGCTCTTGCCGGGGCTCCTCTTGTACATCCTGTTGTTGTCCCCTGTCATGGAGATCCTGCAGTTTTGGATCTGTATGTCAGTCCCCTTCACAGGCTCCAATAGT